TGGGGGGGGGGGGGGGGGTAAGGGAGCCTGGTGTAGCAAGGTGTGTTTCACAGTGGATAGGGCGGGCGAAAGGGTAAAGTATGTTGAGAGGTTTTTGTATCAGATGTCAGAGTGACATGCGTGTAATTTGTCGAGAGGCATGAAGGCATTGAATGAGGTCACAAAGGCATTGAAGATGTTGTGTTTGAAGGAGGGTATAAACGAGTTCCATATTATCATTACTGCTACCGCTGTACAAGCTCTTTGCATAGCGTTTCAACCTCGACCGACATTGAACAGCCCTGTTTCTGCTTTGCGTAACTTTATCTTTGAACCAAGAGGGGGCTGTTTACAAGGGTATATAGAAGTTCCGTTTTTCGAAAAACAGTTATCCATTTGCTAATATATCGTACACGGGACAAAACATAAGACAGGATATCTCAAGGTTGGAGAAACAGACGCTTAGGCGAAGAAGACCAGAGCAGCAGCGCCGATGATAGCGGCAAGAGGGTTGGCGAGGATAGAGTCAGCGCCGGAAGCGGTGACCTCGGGGACGCTGGCAGAGCCGGTGGGAGTGCGGGTGGCCGAGGGAGAAGGAGTGCGGGAGAGAGTAACCGAGCTGATGGTGGAGTTGCTAGCGGGAGTGGAGACAGAGGCGGAGGGGGTGCTAGAAGCAGCCGAGGTGATGGAAGAGGAGCCGGAAGCCGAAGGGCTAGGAGAAGCCGAAGAAGAAGAGGGCTTGACAGAGGACGAGGGGGCGGCAGACGAAGAAGGCGAGCTGGAAGAGGAGGGGGTGTTGTCGGAGGCAGCGCCGCCAGTAAGAGGGAACTGGGCAGAGTAGTTGACAGTGTCGCCGCGCTTGATCTCAAGAGCATAGTCGCTCTTGCTGGGGAGATCCTTGCTGGGGGTCCACTGGAACTTTCCACCGGTAGCAGTGGCTGTAGTAGAGTCAGTATATGGAAAACGGTTCTTGTCGAGGGGAGGGCAAACGTACTGGTCAAGGTGCCAATGACATCAAGGTCGGTGGACTTTCCCTGGCGGAGGATGAAGGTAGTGGGGACATCATCGGCCGGGGAGTAGGTGATGGTGTAGGAGTTGCCGGCAACGACACCCTGGGCAGGGAAGTCGTTGATCTCGAGGGCAGCGACGAGAGCAGCGAAAGCCGCGGAGGAAAGGATAGCCTGGAAGAAGCGCATGGTGGCGGTTTGGATAGAGAGAGAGAGAGAGAGAGTGAGTGAGGAGTTGGATTAGGGGGTAGTATTAAGCTGAAGATGGTAGTAGTTGGACAAGAATGAGTGACTGATCAGCGAGTAGGCGGCTTGAAGGAAGGAAAGAGAAAAGAATGGGCGGGCGCAGGGTGAGATGAAATAAAAGACGGGACCCGCGAGCTGACGGTGTATTTTTCGCGCCGGGTGCAAACGCCCTTGTCGCGGCAGAGGGGAGCAAGATTTGGAGCCGGAAGCGGGCTAGACTGTCGACTAACGAGAGATGAAGCTCATGCGGCGCGGCGGTGATTGGCGCGCAGACGGGCTGGCCATGGAGCGTCTCCTATAATGGCTCGCCTACGTCTGGACCGAGGGCCTTGGCCCAAGAGGCAACCCTGGGCGAGTCGATGGGATGGTGTGGGTGCGAGGGTGAATGGATGGATTGCATGGCCCCCCTTTGGTGCGTGCCTGGCGCCCATGGTACCTGGCCGCTAAGCTGTTTGCGGCCTAGCAAAAACAAAGTCAATAACCTGGGGAAATTCAGGGGCTATCCCGTCAAAGGCCCCTCGTTGCGCAACGGCCCAACTGCATGCGGATATTAATATGCAAGCCCGTTCCAGAGCCTTGTCCATGTATTTTCGAGCACGTCGTTGGCCATGTTCATTGCGAGCGCGCCATTGTTGTCGTCGTGTGCGTCGCGTCCATCATCTCGTTAGTACTTAGTACTATCATGTATCCCTTGCCGCCATGGCCACCATAGCCACCACCACCACCACCCCCTCGGCACAAGCGATCAGCTGGGGCTCCACACAAAGCCTTGTCGTTCCAGATGAACGCCGGTTGTGCCAGCGAGTCCTTTGGCGCCCGGCAGCAGACGTCATGTCTCACTCATGGCGACGACTCTCACCACCGCTATAGCCCTGTCGACCATGTACGCAAGTACATAATACACCGACGAGGCGCCGGCTTCGACTTGAGCTTCAGGACCGGCAAGACGCCGGTGATGAGCTTACGACATATACTGTACTAGTTGATATGGACGGAGCAGATACTTGTTAGACAACGGCCCGACGCTTGGGAGCTCCACCCACAAGAGATTCAAGACTGGGCACCAGACGTGGACAAGACGGCGCGCACGCCACCTGTTTGACTGTATACGTACTAAATGTGAGAACGAAGCCGAGTGGAGCATCAATGGACTTGGGCAAGTGTGCACATCTCGCGGCGGGGAACCACCTGTTCGCCGTCGATAAACCCACATGGTATCGACTTTTGCTCAACTGTGCAGCCATGGGGGCGTGCAGTCAGAGGGAGCGTGCGTATGCCTTGCCTTTGCACACCCCCCCCCCTTGCTCCCCATGGTCTGTGCTACTCTTCCTGTCAATCACCAAGACGGCTTTTCTTCAGACACGGCACAGCATAAACATACTACATTCATCTTTTGCCACTACCGCGTCTCACACTTTGTCCCAAAAGGCATCAACTAACCACTTGGTATCTTGTCCCGATGATGTCGCCAACCGAAAAAGCTGGCGTAGGCAAAAGCTGGCTGTGCGTGTGTGCCGGCGCATCCAAGTCAGGTTCTTCTGCCGCCTTGTTGCAAATACCGGGCTGCTTTTGCAAAAAAGCCTTCATCGCCGCGTCACGCACTTGTCCCCTTGCGGATTCCTGTAAACTTACTTTTTTTTCGCGCTCCGACAAAGTGATCATTGCTAGGTTGTACGCATATGCAAGCCACTATCGGGTCCAATCAATCAAGCCTTTTAGCCTCGTCCATACCCGCCTGTTCGCGACAATTGCCATCTACTGTGTATGCTGCGCTCAAAAGTTAGATGCTCATCTTGTACTACACTACTATACACCATGTCTGCAAGCATATTTTGCGCCATTAATAATATCATGGTGGCGAACGTCCTTCATGCCAAGTACAATCCGCTCCTAGCGTTACTCAAGTCATTTCTTAGGTCTGCGATCTGGGTGGCAATTTTCAGAAATGCAGATAGGAGCTCTGGTTGGCTTAATTCTCCTCACTATGGATACTTATGGGTCCAAATAACGCTGACTGGCTGGGCTGAATAGTACGTTTGCAGACATGGTGTATAGGGACCTGGCCAACTTCACACCATGACTTTGTTAGTAGTTGATTGCTACTTGCGTTATTCCAGAGAGTATGTGCAACGTCTTCTCTAATGCCTCTCCTCACAAGACCCCGCGCATCACTCTGGAAAACATAGTGCCCTCTTCATCATCCCCCTGTCCATCCTCATATCCGCACCACTCTTCTCGCTCCCGTCACGTGATGATCGAGTGTATTCACTGATACGGTGGCACTGAAGTAGCCAGACACAGTATTCTCAACTCAAAAAGGTTTCCAGTAATCAATCAAGAAGAAAACAAAAAAGTTTTTCCAGTACTACCATCCCCCCCCCCCTCCAAAGCCCTTACTGCATCCCACAAGTCCAAAAAGGAAATCAACTTGAACACCGATATGTTCCCCCAGAACCCTGATAATGTTTTTCCGTGTTGGAAAGGGGAAAAGAGAAAACCCCCCAACTCTCTCCACCTTATCCACAACGCTTCCCCAACAACTCTCTAGGCATATTTCTCCTCCCACGCCGCTTCGCCCTTGATAAACGCATCAAAGTCCTCGGGAACACAGTCCTTGAAGCCCTTCACCGCACCCGCCTCCTGCTTATCCTGGCCCTCCGCCGCAGCCTCCTCCTCAACCAGCGTCGACCGCTTCTTCGAAGGCGTCTTGGACGGCGTCTTATCCGCATCCGAAACCTCTGCGCTCTTGCGCTTGCTCGGCGTGCTTACAGGCGTCGTCGGACCTACCATGTACGCATACCAGTCAGCCTTGTCATCGTAACATAACACATCCACCTTATTCGTAATCCTGTGCAAAGTACACGAGGGATGTTCTTTACTTACCGCGTTTGGCAGAAGACGCCACGGGCGCAAACTCCTCGCCGCTTTCAACCCGCGCCTTGAGTTCCTTGGCTTTGGCGATGACGGAGCGGAAGTCGTGCTGGAAGCTGTAGGCGGATTTTTTGCCGTCGAGTGAACTCATCATTTCGTAGTTTTTCATCGAGAGGCTGGTTGTGCCGGTGCTGTAGAGCACGGCGGCGACGACGTCCGCGCTGAACATCTTGTCGGCTTTTTCACTGGCTTTGGGTGGCATCGTGTTGGTTGTAGTTGTGGTGGTGTTGGTGATTGGGTTACTTGGTGAGCTAGTGAACTGTGTATGTGTTCCTTGCAGTGATGAAAGGATGAAGGTGACCGCGTCAGGAATGGAAAGATGGGAGACTACGCAAAGAGTCAGTTAAAATAGGCCAAGCGTCTCACTGTCACGCGTGCGCAGTGAGAGAAGCGGATGTCTCAATGGGATGCGTCAGTGATGGTGAAAGATGACCAAGGAGGCTTAGTGTAGGCTGCACTCACTTTCACTGAGATACGGCATGTCCGCCACTGTTGGTGAGAATCAGTCATGACGAAGCCTTGGGGGGTGATCCCAGGTCGAATGGCCTGCAGTGCAGATCCTGGTGGTAGTCGTAAACGCCTAGATGAGAACTTTTGGGGACTGAAGTGCACATTTTAACAGAAAGCATTATACAGTGTACCTTGGCCCATTCACTAGGAAGTGGCGATGGAGTCCACAATGGCAGACCATAAAACTCACACAGTCGGACTGCGCATTCCAATGAAAAGCGGGATAGACATAGGGCGGCTTCACTCATTTACTAGAAACCAACTATATTTCTCAAGAAGTGACTATGACATCTGTAATGTCCGACCACGGAACTCACATAGTAGTCGCGTTCAAGAACCTAGCAGTACCTTCTAGAGCCATCTTCCCACATCACACACCAAATGCCTTTTCCACCACTTTCACCTCAGGCGCCTTTCCATCCTGAGCCCAGTCACCCATCTCCATAAGGCGATCTCTCTGAGCCTCTAACTCCCTATTCATAACATCCTTGTCTGGATTCCCCACGCTTCGCTTCAGCTCCTCAACCATCTCCCTCGTCTTCTCCATCACGCTCTTGGTAAATGCATTGTCCTGACCGTGACTCATAGGCGCAACATCCAGGACTTGCTTTACCAGCATCATTGCAATAAGACCCATGTTGACGCCGGGCGCGCCCACGCCCTCTTCTGTGCTTGCAAGGTATGCTGCAAGCATCGCCATCTGCCATGTCTGAACAACGCGAACGGGATGAAATGGCACCGGGTAGAGCTTGGGCAAGATATACTTGTAGCGTTTTGCGCTGTGTGCCCATGCTTCTTGATACTTGCCCACCGAAAGGAGATTTACAATGAGCTCATCGCGGAGCGAGGCGTACGGCTGGCGGTACAGAGGCCAGTTACCAGACTCATGGCATGCCTTGAGGGCTTCTTTGAGAACCGGAATCACAGCCTCTGCATTTGGCATGCCCTGTATTTGCTCATACAAGGTGAACATTTGCTCTTGATTGCTGGCCAGTGCCTGAGTTTCTTCTTTGCTGGGGACAAAGTCAGAGTTTGCTGGAACGAGCCAATTGTCTTCCTGGTGCGTGGCTTTGTCCTGACATTTCGCACATCGGCATGTGAAGAACCAACGTGCCTGAAGCTCGTCCTGTCGTTTCTGGTACGGATGCGTCGTGTCAATGTAGGATATGAAAATCTCCTTATCCTTTCTGATTGGCCGCAGAGTCCGAATACTGACCAAGGGTCCATCCATCATGATGTAAGCATTCGGGTCGCAGGAATGGTTCATCTGGCAGAGTGTGGGGTCCACGATGATGCCCAGTGGATCCAATGTTGGTGTGATGAGCGTCAAGGCGTTTGACATTACCTTGCACGATTTAATAGTGTGCGCACAAATATTTGAGTTCCACTTACCCGTCCATACATTGCAGCAACAAAATCCTTGTCAAAGACATTCTGTGGGAGTGAAAATTGAGCGGCCCCCATGGCCATCATTTCAATATTTTGATATGTCCCATTCCGTTTGAAGTCGTCAATGTGAGATGGTAACTGGCAAAGCAGTTCCCAATCCTTATCAGGTATCAGGCCATGCTTCCTCCGGGTAAGTATTTCCATAGATGCTAGGAATGCTTTTGGGAGGCCCCTGCCAGCCATAGGCTTGAGGATCTTGCACTCATGTTTATGTCCGCGGTTCCACGCTTCCTTTTGGCAAGCCTGAAAGAGTCAATTGGCAACAAGGCAAATATGCGGGTATAACACTTACCTTGCTACAATACCTAAATCTCTGGCATGCAGCACATTTGCTGACTTCTGCACCTTCTGGCACATATAATCTTGTTCCTGCTGACGCACCTTCGGTCCAAAGATAGCAATTTGCGCAGGTATCGAGTAGACGTTCCGTCTCTAAAGAGCCCACAAGAGGACGTTTGAACCTCGCAATCTCTTCGCCTGCACCAAACCTCTGATTCGCGAACAATCCATTTCCGATACTTTCTCCTTTGCTGTTCACACAGACATTCGACTTGGCAACGTAGTAGGGTGCTGGGGTAGCTACCGAGGCTTTCAGCTCATCTGACATACTACAATATCTTGACGAATAATTTCTTGTAAAACGTGCGGAAACTGAATAAGAAGGACTATGGTTACCACGGCTCGTGCGACGTCATTGTTTTCCGTTCTGGAGCAGCTTTGAACGCGCCAAAACGTGGGTTTGGCGGGACTAGGCCCGTCTAGGCATGGTTCGTTCATCCCCTCACTACTACCACGGCGCCTTGTACATATCATCTTCTCGAACAGATCACTGCCATGAAAACAAGATGAATCGATGAATGACTCCCACGGGTTAGCGTGCTGTATTCATATCACACGCTTCGTATGAAAACATGTGACACCACAGTGCAAAAGGCCTATCAATATACTATAAATGGAGCGTCCCATGCGAGGCATAAGCACGCGAAGCTCCTCGTGCTACACCATCTCCCATCTCCAGATCCCTTGACTACCACCATAAAAAAAAGGAGGTACTGCCAATGCATTCCAATTGGTGCCACCACGGCGCAAACTACAACACCTCTTCAACACCCTCCCTAACCACCACTCCGCGCTTAAAAATATCGCAATACCGCTCTGACAAAGATATATACGCCTTGACCACACAGCACAAGAACAAAAACAACACCAACAAAAACCCCGAGGAATCCCCTCGGAAAGATATAGAATCCATCACACGTGACCTCGAACTCCACTATCAAGCCCTAGACCCGCCGGCCCGCGAGCTAGCTCTCGTCCGCGATCTCGTAAACGACTGGAACGACCGGCGTCTCCTTGCACTCTGGAAGTGCTTCGAGCACCACCCCCGACGCCCATTCAAGGTCGTGCATGTGATGGGATTAGATTTCGGCGAGGCGGAAATGGGAACGGTGATTAGGCGTGCGCTGCGCAGGCTGCAGAGGCATCCGCAGAAGGAGCGTTTGGTGGTGGTGGCGAGGGCGCTGCACAAGGCTGGGAATGGAGATGTGGTGTTGGGGCTTGAGGATCCGCGGTATGTGTTGAATTGTCGGGATGGGGAGGAGGAGGAGGAGGTGGTGGTGGTGGTGGTGTAGTGGCGATTCTGGGAGTGGACGATCGGTACAGTGTTGGTTTGGACACACCAAGTGTTTGGATACTATTTTAGAGCTCATCAAACATAACAACACACGCTTGTAGCTGTTAATACGTCTCGGAACCATGTCTCTCGTTCGCTCGCATAAAACTATTATGAATAACTAAACAAGCCTTAACCAGACTCTATTCAATTCCGTTCCGATTATCATTAGATAAAATTACACTATTATGTCGTGAATAATTGTACAAAAGCCCTTATAATTACTGCTCCTCATTCTCGGCATAGATAAAGTTCGCTGCCACGGGAACCAGCTCATTCTCCTGAGCCCATTCCCTTACACCACCACGTTCCTTCCCCATACCCCAATGCTTACGGTCCTGCGGTTTGCTCGGATGCAAAGGCTCGGTCGTGCCATTCTTGGGTGCGAAAACAAGAAACACGTAGCGATGTTTGCCAGTCTTGGGTGGCGGGCCAGGAGGCTTGTATTCCATGACATCATCTAGCTCCTCTGTCGATTCAATGTCCTCGGTGAGACCAAACTCTGGTACAGGCAGGACGGAAAATGTATCTTGAGCGATGGAGACGTTTGAAGCAATCCAGTGACAGAATTCACTCCACTCGGGGTTGTCGCGGGACGGGGCATCCGGGTCTGTCAAGGTGATAATGTAGCTCATACCAGAACTAGCATGCTTGCCGTTCGGGCTAGTGTCGTCATGCAGAATCACGGTGGGTTGCTTTTGGAGGTCTTCTGGGTCGATAGTATTGCCTAGCTTAGCCTTTGCATCCGGCCAGGAAATGGAAAGCGTGAGACTGGGGAGAAAGTCGTCGATGACTAGAGGGCGGTTAGTGCTGAACGTTGGCCTCCTACACGAGTTAGATGAACATGCCTGTGGGGATGATTTCGGCATTGTGAAGTCTGCAGCTATTCGTCAGGAAAAGCCGTCCAATAATCCGGGTTGCGAGAAACTCACTGTGTCCGAACATTTCTGACATTCTTGGGACCGTTGAGTAGAAGCGGCTTTTGTTCTACTGGAAGGGCAATTGCTGTTGCGCAAAGTTGCAACAAGCAGGTTAAGCCAATTGAGAATCTGGAAGGCATTTTGTGGGTGAAAAGAACAGGGCTGCGTCCTGTGATTCTGGTATGGGGCAGCAGGTGGAATTTGCAGCTGGCGTCAAGCATTTAATGACATTGTCGCTCCTTCCTGGCAGCTTCCCCACACGTGCGTCATCTGTGCCTCAGCATTGTAGATCCACCATCGGATCGGGCAGAAGGCGCTGATTGGGCAACCACGGCGCAGAGATAAGCCACAAAGCAGACGTAATTAATGTAAATGTATTCGTCTTGTGCTACTTGCGCTATGGGTATTTCTAAACAAACAGGTACCGCCAAATGGAAATAAAGAAAGGGCCGATATGAAGGAGCATGAGCGCGACTAAATCAGCAACTCTCGACGTGGTCATCGACCGGAGCATTGCAGAAAGTGTTGCTATCAATGACGAAGCCCATGTTTTGCGAAATCTGGTATTCGGCCAGCTCTTGAGCTCCGCGTCCCGTCATTGTGCCTGTGCAGTCGCTGAGCAAAACACAGTCCCATCCGTACGAGTATGCATCGGACACGGTGCCAAAGACGCATTGATCCGTGTTGACGCCAGCAAAGAGCAGTGTCTGCTTGCCAGATGCCCGCAGATACTCATGGATGGGTTCCTTCTCAGACCAGAGACCACTCATTCTCGTCTTGTCGAAAAAGAGATCGCCGGGCTGGGCGACTGCTTGAAACGGTCCGTATAGGGCTGCGTTCCACGTCCGCTTGAACAGGCATCTTCCTTGGCCGTCAGGCAGCTGAGCGCCTAGCCCCACATGCCATCCCAGCGTCTTGCTGAAGCCGCGCTGGATAGCGGGTGCCATCTTGTTCAAGTCATGGTCGGTGATGCCCCAGTTCAGCCAGGCAACTTGGATGCCTTCTTTGCGGCATCTCTCAATGACCTTCAAAGTAGGATCGATTGCAGTAATTCCCGCTGCGTGGTCGCGATACAATGGGTGGACAAAGTAGTTTTGCATGTCAACGACAATCAGGACCGACTTGCCAGGGTCAATCATGAAGCCGGTATGGTTGCTGCGTTCTTCATCGCACTCGAGAACCATTTTCCGCTCCGCTCCTCGAGACAAGTCGAACTTTTTGGTGGCCGGTAGATAGATCCATTGCCCTTCGCCTCCGAATGGAATGGATGCAGTGCATTTTATAGTTCCTATGGTTATGTCGTGATTCTCTTGGGTAGTGGTAACGGTCAGAGACTCTGGGGCCATGGAAGCTTTGAGAAGAAGACGGGTAAAATGGACTTGACTTGGAAAATGGCCAGAGTCGAAATGGGATTGAGATTGAGATGCGGATGGGGATGATGACTGGGTGGTGGTGCAGATATCAGCGCAGGCAGGTGACTTTTGTAGGCCAGGTGCAAACGGCGGTTCTTCCTTTGTTTGCGCTGAGCATGATAACAGGGCTTATCTCTCGATGATAGGCTTCCTTCGGCAGGCAGAGCTTAGGCAGAGCTTGGTCACAGCATCAAGAATGGGTCTGGGTAATCTACACTTATCAGCTTGTGCAAAGGCATGATACCGTCGTCAGGTACACGTGATGGTACCTGGCCTTGATAGCGTGGCCAATGAAGCGGAGGAGAAAAAGGCGATGCATGGCGATCAGCCAGCATTCCCCAGGGTGTGGAGATGGCATCTGGAGATCTGGTTTGATAATGGGGTGTGGTGGCAGCTGGGCGTGGCGATAAGGGTGGTGAGCAGCGATAGATAGCCGTGCCGTCGCGGTGCGACTAGTTGTACTACGCCAGGCGCGGGGTCCGACAATACCCGACCGCCGGCGAGAGTAGGCTAGGCTAGTACGAGTAGTGTCGTCCCTCCAAGTAGTGCTATGTAATAATAAGTCACCAGCCTACAGCCCTACATACGTGTCATGCCCTCTTCTCACACGACGACAACAGGCGACCCCATCGAAACCCGACGGGCAGAGTCGTGTTGCTGCCAGTCCAGACATGCTCGCGGTGTGTCAAATTGTGGGTGCTCAACAAGGGGCTGCGGAGCCGTGCGATGAGTTGTTCTGATGGCTTGGCCCACTGCCAGTTTCCCAACACTTGACTGCTGATGACGCTGGTGCTACGACTGCTGGTTTGGCGACCGAGGGGTTATTTTTTTTCTTGTGCCATTTGCATTGCGCACACTGGCTGTCGTGTGCTGCGGGCTGCCGTGCGTTCCATGTCCACATGTATGGACCGTTGTAGTTACATATCCGGGCTTGGGAGCCGGGCGTCATGCACCGCACTTGGTGTGGCGTTTGACAGGGCAGGCCATGGCTCACGGCCAACGCCAGCGACGGCCTCGAGCTCTCCGTGAACAACAACCCTGGGGGGTTGCTTGTTGCGTGTGCTGGCGTCCAGCGCTCCTTTATGCGCAAAAACATGGGTAGCGTGCGGCCAGATTAAGGAGAGTGGTGAGTGCGAGTGCGTGATGTGGGGAGCAGAGTGCCATGCTGGCCGTCACGTGCCCGCCGCCTTGGAACATGAACTTTCAAGCGAAGTGACGACGGAGCTGCAGCAAAGGCCCTCCCGTCCAGAGCCTCTGCTCCCTACAAAGTCGCCATCACCTATATCTCCCCGCCTGATCCCGCATTTGTATTCTGCACATACCCCTCCTCCCCCCGCTCTGCCTCGACTTTTCCGCCTGCAGCATTCGATTCCGCCATCTGGTCTGGTCTGGCTGCCCGGCAACGAGTCCGTCCCGTGAGGAGCAAAGAAACGACAGATACACAACAGCGCTATGGCGGCGCTGGGCGAGGAACTCCTCAACATTGTCAACAGGCTCCAGGACCTGGTATTCAATACGATTGGAAATGATTCTCTCGATTTGCCCCAGATTGTATGTGCGCCCCAGCCGGAAAAGTGAATGCGGTGAGGGCGGAGCAGATTTTCAACCGCTCCGCTGCATGCTGTCGAGGCGCTGCTAACTGGCCCAGGTCGTTGTAGGATCGCAGTCCTCTGGCAAATCGTCAGTGCTTGAGAACATTGTCGGCAAGGATTTCCTGCCCCGTGGCAGTGGCATCGTCACCCGCCGACCGCTCATTCTCCAACTCATCAACCTCCCCAGCGAACGCGATGAAGACGATGACGATGAAGTCCATGTGCCCCACACGCCCGCAAGTGTTGCGAGCCAGCAGGAGTGGGCTGAATTTCTCCACATTCCTGGCCAGCGCTTCTACGACTTTGCAGACGTCAAGCGCGAGATCGAGAACGAGACGTCCAGGATAGCAGGAAACAACAAGGGCATCAACAGGCAGCCCATTAACCTGAAAATCTACTCGCCTCACGTCTTGAGTTTGACGCTGGTCGATTTGCCTGGTTTGACCAAGGTGCGCGCTTCCGACTTTTTCTGCGTGGCAATCCCAGGCTAACAAACACAGGTGCCCATTGGTGACCAACCCTCCGATATCGAGAAGCAGACACGGAACTTGATCACCGAGTACATTGCCAAGCCAAACAGTGTCATTCTCGCAGTCTCCCCCGCCAACGTCGATCTCGTAAACTCGGAGGCTCTGAAGCTTGCACGTCATGTCGACCCCATGGGTAAGAGGACCATTGGTGTCCTCACAAAGCTCGACCTTATGGACCACGGCACCAATGCCATGGACATTCTCTCAGGCCGTGTCTACCCACTCAAACTCGGCTTCATTGGTATTGTCAACCGATCACAACAGGACATTCAGGGCAACAAGTCCCTGGCCGATGCCCTACAAGCCGAGCGGGACTTCTTCAGACACCACCCTGCATACAGGAATATGGCAAACCGCTGCGGTACCCAACTGCTTGCTAAGAGCCTGAACCAAACGCTCATGGCTCATATCCGAGACCGTTTACCAGACATCAAGGCACGCCTGAACACCCTCATGGGCCAAACACAACAGGAGCTTGCGAGCTATGGCGACGTCACCTTCACTGGAAAAGAGCACCGTGGCTCCCTCATCCTGCAGCTCATGACTCGCTTCGCCTCTTCCTTCATTGCATCCATCGACGGTACTTCTACCGAGATCTCGACAAAGGAGCTATGCGGTGGTGCCAGGATATACTACATCTTCAACTCGGTCTTCGGCAACTCGCTCGAGCAGGTCGATCCTACCCAGAACCTGTCCGTATTAGACATCAGGACGGCTATCCGCAACTCGACTGGTCCCCGACCCAGTCTGTTCGTTCCCGAGTTGGCATTTGACCTCCTCGTAAAACCTCAGATCAAGCTTTTGGAGATTCCAAGTCAGCGCTGTGTCGAGCTCGTCTACGAAGAGCTGATCAAGATCTGCCACACATGCGGCTCCACTGAGTTGACAAGATACCCCAGGTTACAAGGAAAGCTTATTGAAGTCGTGTCAGATCTTCTTCGAGAACAGCTTGGCCCTTGCTCGGGTTATGTCGCCTCCCTCATCGATATTCAGAGAGCCTACATCAACACAAACCACCCCAACTTCCTTGGTGCTGCTGCTGCCATGTCGTCTGTCATCAGCGACAAGGAACAAAGGGAGAAGAAGATCGCAATGGAGGCTGAGAAGAAGAAGCGAGAACAAAGAAGATTAAAAGAGCTCCAGAACGGTACCAACGGAGAGGGCACAGAAGACGGCGAAGGTGGCGACAACGCATCGCTGAAGTCTCTTCCTCTTCGAAAACACCAGTCCCAAACCAGCCGTAGCATGTCACCGGCTGTGGGACGAATGGTGAACGGATCTCAGAGCACAACAGCAGCACTCAATAGCCGCAACCGGTCACCCCCCGGTACTGCCCGTGACAGCTTCTTGAACTACTTCTTCAGCAAAGACAGCAACACCGCATATCCTAACCCACAGGGCCTGCCACAAGCAACCCAACCAATGCTTGACAACCGGCCAGGAAGCCGACACGTCACCCAGAACATCGAGCCCAGTTTTGCACAGAGCATTCGGAGAGGTGATAGCAAGCAACCCGCCCATGTGCTGGCGATGATGCCACCAGATACCGATGACTATGACGCACCGTCGAGTGCTGCTTTCAGCGCCCCTCCCCATAGCCCAAATATGGGCGGAGAAAACTTTGAAGGCGGCTTTGTAAGTTTCCATATCAGACCTTGTTGACGCTGAATACTAACTTTACACAGCCCTCCAACCCTGAGCAAGCACCAGCCCTTACAGAACGCGAAGCGCTTGAGACTGAACTTATTCGCCGGCTCATCTCATCGTACTTTAACATTGTCCGAGAGACTGTTGCTGACCAAGTGCCCAAGGCGATTATGCATCTGTTGGTCAACCACTCCAAGGATGTTGTACAGAACCGTCTGGTGTCTACGCTGTACAAGGAAGATCTCTTCCAGGAGCTGTTGTACGAGGATGACACGATCAAGGCTGAGCGCGAGAAGTGCGAGAAGCTGCTCAAGACGTACAAGGAGGCTGCCAAGATTGTCGGCGAGGTATTGTAAGAGAAGCAAGGGTTTGACGATGAAATAAAACGGCATAGCTTCACTGCAGGTTGTTGAAGATGTGCAACTGTGTGTGTCTTTGCGGCTTGACTGCAAGGGATCGGGGTAAAGGCAGTGTCAAGCGCTTGGGAGGCGAATTGGGGAAAGGAAGGGCCGCGCAGCGTTCATGTTGCTGCGGCCCACTTGTCTCGTCTCTCTTTTTGCGCTTTTGGCATTTGATACTCCTCTGTTTGGAAAACCACTCCACTGCTCTTGTTTTTGTCTTGTTATTTTTTTTCCTTTTGGATTGGATACGTCTCGAGAGTTGCATGGCACTTTCTTCTCATGGGCTCTGGTTTTGGCTTTTTGTTACGAATTAACGCCCATGGGTGGTTTTGAGAGAGCGGGGCCAGGTGATGAGCTGAGATGAGACATGTATAGAATACAACGTTTTCTGATATTAAAGACATTGACTTGGGCCGATGAACACGTAACATTGTAGGTGGCTCTGTGGTATGCATGCTCTTCTGTTGTTGTGCTGCTGTTTTATCTCTATTCACCATCAATTGAGTGGGGGTCGTTGATTGGGTTGACCCGTGTGCAACACTGATATGAGAAGAGAAACGGAGGGGGAGAATAAGATGAAATAAAGCAAGCCGACGGGGTGCCATGGTTCAAAACTTGGAAGCATGTGTATTTGAAAACGTTATCAACCCGACGTCTATGTTGTACAAAAAGGGCACAAAAAGTACCGGGAGATTGGTATCTCGTAGATGTCGTACGACTATTGACTAGTTATCCTCTCTGTCTCTCTCCCCCTCTTTCTCCCAGTCGTCTTCTGGGCTTGGCAAAAAAGGGGACAGCCGCATTATGTCCATGCTAGGGTAGGAAACAATGAAGCCCTTTCTCTGACTAGGCTTATTTGTCGGTTATGCCGAGGAGGGCGTGTAGATCGGCATTGGGGTCTTTTGGGTCGGCCTTGGCTGTTTTTCAAACCCATCAGTTAGTAAAAAGGATGAGTTTTGGCTGAGAAATTTGGCATAGCGAATAATGACGCACCTCCCGATGATTTTGGCTGTTCTGAAGGGTGGTCTCGTGCCCATTGCTCCTTTGCTTGTCTGATCAACGCCTGCTTGTGGTCCCACTCCTTTTGTGCGGCCTTTGCCCGGTCGGCGGCAGAGAGCGAGAGCTGGTGGTAGGCACCGTAAAAGACGCCCAGGCCGAGTGCGGACCACCGGAGGACCTGTCATTGCAATCCATTAGCCGTCATTGTCAATATATCTGGTGGTCTTGCGGGACTCCAGCGAAGCTCATTGTTCTGGATATTTTGGGGGGATCCTTTGGCGGGATGGAGGGGGTTGAGCGTACGTTGACACCGACGGATGTGGACATGGTGACGGTTTTTGGGGGGGCGTGTAAGAGGGCTTGCGATAACCGTTGTTCTTGGTCGTCTATGTCCAATGGCAGATATTCCGGACGAGACGGTGGTGTAGACGCCGGGGGGATGGGATCCGGGGCGGCAGGACGAGGGGCGTCGGGGCGGATGCGGGTTGTTGGGCGTTGCAGAGCTGTCAAAGTTGAGGTTGGACCTGGCGCAAGATTTGGTCGGGACTGCCGCCCTCGCTGCGAGCTAGTGCGTCCCTCCCCCCAGTCCCTGAACACTCACCAACTGAACACTCCGCTTGGCGCGACGACGTAGCCACATAACAACCACACGCCACGCTGTTTTATTTTATTTTTTGCTGCTGCAGTCACTGGGCGCAAGAACGCAGAGAAAGACAGCATAAATCAAACAGCCATTCACACGCATGGGATTATATAATCAGTAACACGGCAACAAACATACAGATACCCAAACACATACACCGCATACACACTGGTTCCCCTCCACATCTCCGCCATGGAGTCGACAATGCAACAACGGCGGGATGAGATCCTCGCGAAAAAGGCAAAGCTCGCCGAGCTGAAGCGCCAGCGCGAACTGAGAAAAGCAGAGTCGGCGAGCCGGCAGTCGACAACGGGCAGTCCGCTGGGGGAAGTCCTCTCACCAACACCAAGACGAAGCGAAGACCTCGATCGGAGAACTGATGTCAACAACCTCATCAACAGCATTCTCGGCGAGAGCAGGCCTGGATCAACTGGACCTGGCTCGCCCGCCGGTCCAGGGCGGGCGACCCGACCGACATCAGTCGTCAGCGCAGGCCAGCTTAGCAGCGATGAAGGCTCCGCCGGCTTCCCGCCATCTGCTGGCATGATCGACCGAGAGATGCAGACGCTTTCGATTGGCCCACTAGCTACCGTGTACGAAATCGACGGCCAGGTCACAAATGAGGTCAAGAAAGAAAAGGAGATCATCACCTACAGCAAGGGAGTGCAGGCGAGCATAGAATGGAGCCCCTCAAAGGAACGCCGCGCGGGCGGCAGCGACAGCGAGCGCGACGATAGCCCTACACGATCACCCAAGAGCAAGAGGCTGAGCAGGAGACAAAAAGAGCGTGAGGAGGAGATTCGAGCCCAACTGCGCAAGGAGATTGAGGAAGAGATCAAGGCAGTCCAACAACCACCCCAGGAAGGCGCGCCACAGCCGGGATCAGACGAGAACTTTCCCTTCAAGACTCTCACAAATGAGGAACTCACGGCCGTGGAGAACTCGGAGGAATTCATTGGCTTTGTAGAGCGAAGTACAAAGGTGTTGGAGCGGGCTCTCGACCAACAGCTAGGCTATGACATTCTCGCCGACTATGCGCATGCAGGTGTGGATGTCGACGACTCGGATGAAGGCTACGGCTCGAGTGGAGCAAAGAAGGGTCGGCGAATAAGGGAGGTTGCGCAGTTCTGGGACGAGCGGTGGAGCAAGAAGCGAATGATTTCCGATCTGGGCTTCTCCACAAAGGTACGGAATACCGTCTTGTTTCACAGAATCACTATTAACAACAAACTTGAAGTTTCCTGAACTCGTCCTCGCCTCGTATACAAAGAACCCATCTGCTCCGCACGACCCGGATGGTCTTGTCCAAGTCTGGAACCTGCACATGCATGATCGACCCGAATACATCTTCCACGCCCAATCGGATATCCTTACTGCCAAGTTCTCTCCATTCCATCCGAACCTCATTGTTGGCGGTGCCTACTCTGGCCAAGTGCTGTTATGGGACACTCGGGCCAAGTCTGCACCTGTGCAAAAGACACCCCTTACAGGATCTGGTCATACACATCCCGTTTACTCACTAGACATTGTCGGTACACAGAATGCCAACAACATCATCTCGTGTTCGACGGACGGCGTTGTATGTGGCTGGACAGTCGACATGCTTTCGCAACCACAAGAATTCCTCGAACTTACATCGCCGCCCCCAGCAAAGACGGACGACATGGCGGTGACTAGCATCGCCTTCCCTCAATCGGATCCGACATATTTCCTTGCTGGCACAGAAGAAGGCTCCATCTATCCGTGCCATCGCTACGATCGTGCAGGTGCAAAGGCTGGTGTGGATGGGCGTGTCAAATACGCTGGTCACGCTGCGCCTGTAATGAGCTTGGACTTTCATCCGGCAAAGGGCCAGATTGATCTTGGCGATCTTGTGCTATCATCCAGTGTTGACTGGAGCGTCAAGCTATGGAAAGTGCGGCCCCCAGCCGCCACGGGCGCGACCAATGTCACTCTGCCAGGCGCCGCACAACAAGTCACGCCCGTGCTGGACATTGCGCGTGAGGATCTTGTGTATGATGCGCGATGGTCGCCTGTCAAGCCCTCTGTGTTTGCTCTTGTCGATGGAGCAGGTAGCCTTGAAGTGTGGGACATCAACGTCGACGTCGAAGTGCCTGTACAGTCTATCAAGCCTAGTGATGGCAAGAGAGGCGCATTCACGAACATGCCGACGGGCTTGGGATACATGAACAGAAGTCTGAATAAGCTAGCGTGGGAGAAGAATGAGGGCAGGAAGGTGGCTGTTGGTGGCATGGATGGCGTTGTCACCGTATTTGAAGTTGGCGACGACTTGGGTGGTGTACAGACGAGGAGCGAGGAATGGAGCGGCGTGAAGAGGCTTGTGAACCGACTCGAAGGGCATGGCGATGGTGCGAACGGGAAGTAGGCTTTGCATGGTCAACTCGCTGAGATTTATCATGGAGGGCAGACAGTCCACAATGTGCCAAAACTTTGCGATAATACCCCAAATTTCCGTAAGCGGAAACCTCGTTGTTGACAAGGACGAGATTGATTGCTTTCTAACATACCCCCAATGTAGTTATTAACAGAGTTTCTCTTGTTCATATCTCTTCACTAAGTCAATGGTTCATGTCTATCGTTTCTGCTTGACGGATCGCTTGCATCAGCAAAATTCATGGATAAAGCCAGGACGTACAGTATGTATGCCTGTACATTTGAGGGGAACTTGGTGAGGACGGCCCGTTAGCGCACCAAACTACTGTTGTCGATTGCGTGTCACTCTGCACGCGGCTCTGCCCTCCTGCCAGTCAGATAGGCTAGGACCCCTGTTGCGCACTGCCACACCGCAAGCCACACATGCATCTCCTCCACACCTCATACATCATCTACCCGGGCTAGCGGCCTAGCAGGTTTCCTGTCACAAACAGTATCGGGGCTCCGCGGCTGCTTCGCTCTTTTTCTTCTGACCCAAAAAAGAGCTGAGCTGTCTTGTTTGACCTTTGCTGTTCATTCATCTAGACGGGTTCTAATGCTTTTCTCCTTAGAAAGCGACGTCTATCTTTCTCAATTGAAGATATGAGCAATGCTTCGTATTGCGTTGACTCTTCTACCCGCGCTGTCATGGCCGGCTTTTTTCCAGTCGCCACAGCAGCAGCAAATCAAACATGAACAAATGTAAACTATATCCTTTGATTGTTGTTTTCCTTGATTTTGGTTCCATTGCACATCATCAAAGCAGAAACAAGGGAGACAAGAAATGATGAAGTAATAAGGCTAACTTTGGTCACGATAAATTCTAGTGCAATAACTTCCTGTATGGCAGCAGTCAAGAGCAACTTCCCTTGCCATACTACACCTACGCCAGACTACGCGTGCCTGTGCAGCCAGTACCTCTGGCGCATCTCGTGCTACGAAAACTACGCCTCGGGGCCGTGGGCCCATGCAGATCGCGCCATCACAGAAGGAAACGTTCACAACACTTGCCGCGCGGCAGGTAGTGTAGCAGTGGATCAGGTTCAAAAGGAGCACGCACGGCGAAAACGGCAAATAGGCGACTTTTTGTCGAGTATTGTGGGTGATGTATCGTCGATTCTGTCAAGCAAGGGCGTTACAGTTCCTACAGCCGTGATTGAGAGTGTGGCTGGCGGAGTGGTGAATGCCTTGCCGACGCCCGTGGATCCGACAAGTATTGCAGCCAGGATCACGGCAACAAGTGCAGTTGGAGAGGAAAATGGATCCATGACAGTCACAGAGATCGGAACTTCTACTTCTTTGTCGACTAGGGGAGTAACTTCTGCGTCATCCTCAGAAGGACCGGCTTCTTCATCTTCTGCCACTTCCCCACCGCCATCCCCATCGAATTCAAACTCAGGGCCCTCGGCAGGTCTCATCGCCGGGGTGGTCGTAGGAGCCATCGCAGCCCTTGCCCTGATTGGAATCTTCATCCTGCTCCTCCTTCGGCATCGCCGGAAAACCAAGTATCAACCTTCATCGCCATTCACAGACAAAGAAGCTAGTCCCACGATATCATCATTGTCTTCCAATGGCCATGTACCCCAAATCGACACTTCCTCGACATTTCCTACTCCTACGGTACTACCCGCAGGCACACCCACTGCCCTTGCATCCCCAGAGCCCGCACTGCGCTCCCCAATCTCGCCAGTCTCTCCCATCACTCCGCAAGACCAAGCACCCTGGATATCCCCTCCATCAACACTTGCTGGTGGAACCTTGCCCAGATACCCCTCTTCTGCCGGTATCACGCCCTGGGACTCTCACTACTACTACCAGGATTCTAAAACACCGCAAACCACCGAGATGCCCACATCTGCTAATTCCTGGGAGCTGGATGGTAAGGAGGTATCGCATCTGGGTGAGTTTGGCGCTGCGCAAGAGAATCAATTGGATGGAGATGGCGGTGTACGGAGAGAAGGCCGGGGACGGGAATGTGTGACGGATTATCAAGCTGGTGAGGAGAATCGTTTGAAAGGAGAGTTTGTAGGGAGTAAGCCGGTTGAGAGGGGCTGGTGATACAGCTGAGTGACTGGTTATCTTGCTCTTTGTCATGGACTATAAGATGTCACCTCACGAAGGTTGCCGTATAGACGCAATAGATACTCGAGACATTGAGTATTTTTGCTGCAAGGAAACAGAGTTTAGGGAGAAATTCATCCAAGTTGCGACGTAAAACTTGCGTGCAACATGGGCAATAGAGATTAGCTATCAAAGTATGTCAGTAACATACTGTGCGGAGATCAGAAAAATGATCTGCAATATACATTGCAATTTCTCTCTAACAAGGTCCCCTGTATAGCATTCGCACACTTCGTAACGGTAGTGAAGGCTCCTACCATGTCTAAAGTGTCTTTTGCAAGAATCTATCAAGGTTTCGTATAGTTGCAAAAGATATATCTCATCTGTTTAATAATCTTAGCTCCAAATACCATAGATCCGTCACACTAAAATGGCGTTCTTCTTGGTGGAATGCGCTAGTTGCGGATGCACGCAGCTTATTAATTGCGCGCGTTGAGGCTTGCTATGAAGCTACTGCAACTCTATAGTAGTGCTTGATTTGTCCGTGAGAAGCGCGCAGAAACGAGGCCCCCAACGTGCAACCAGCTAACTTAGCAAGGACGTAACGCCGACTTTCCAACCAAGCATCGCCCAGCATACTCGCGAACCATACTCCCGCATGAAATGTTTCCTATTATTAGAGGCACCCGGTAGAACATAGAGACAGGGTGAAAAGGTTCCCATGGCATGCTTGACCTATTAGACCTGCGTGTGATTAATATACAATATTGATGTGGTAAGACCAATTACTACATCGAGTAATCCTACCAACGCAAATCCAGCCGCTGACCAAAAACAGAGTTTTTCGCCTATTGTCATCATTACCTGCAGGATCACGTTTACCCGACGGGATCACTTAGCAACAAATAGTCAAGACTGTCAAAGCCAGTCATGCAGACCGACGATCGGATAGAGCCGACTGCGGAGAAAGCTTGTTTTATTGAATGATCATCATCTGTACATTGTACAATGCGGAACGGACGGCTTTGGAGAATATGAGAGATTAGTCAAAAAATCTTCTAGCACGCTCGTCGGGTTGCACAAGAGTCAAGGTCTTCAGGCTAGACTTTGATGCAGTAACAAGGTACTAATGCTTGATAATACCTACCTTGACCGAACTACGGCATGGGACTTGCACCTCGCCTATTATACGAATGGGTATACGGCAAACCCTGGTAACAATGGAGGCTCACGTGTATTCCACGGGTAGCCTGATATTCTTCTGGGACTACACTGTAAGACCTAGCATCTGTTCTTGAACAACTCCGTTACTTCCGACTTCACACTTGTACAAATACGGTCGTTGCTAAATGATGTCGCAATGCTAATGCATGCTACATGGGCGTGAATAGAACGTCGATGATGATACTATCCACTTAATCACAGCCCTCGAGTACACATAAAACCTCATCTCTCTTCCATCTAAAACCTCAGCATCGAGCTGAACATATCCTTTCGCCCCTCTTCTATCCCTTGCGAAATCATCCAACTCCAAGCAACCAAGCCTCAACCCAGCACTGAAAAAAACCATAATGCAGTTCTTCTACGCCCTTCTCCCTCTTCTGCCCCTTGCAGCCGCGAACGGCCGAGTCCGCTTCAACGCATTCGACCACATCAACTGCCAGGGTTTCGAAGAAAACTACGACCTCAACCCTGCAACAGTAAAGGGCAACTTTCCAGGTAAATAAAGACCTTTGAAATTTCATCAGATGACTGCACACGTTTTCTAATGACATCCAAAGGCCCCCGCGGAGCTATCCAAATATTGCAAACTTCCCCGGGATGCCACATCACGCTGTACACTGGCTACAACCAGTCGCCAAACGATGGTAGTCGTCTTGCTATTCCTACCGACAATGCTAATTGCTACTTTAATGGCAATGGGTTTGAGCAGTATCATAGCTTTGGATATTACTGCCCGTAGACTACCTTCAAACAATTGTTGCTGCCGATAGATAGATAAAGGTACAAATGAGGTTACTATATTGCCTAAGGCTGCCAGAATATGATATACATTGTGTCCGAGAAAGTATAAGACGTACCATACATGGATGTGAATATCCGAGTGAGATTAGCGTTGAAATGTAACCTATGAGAGATTGCTTGATATACCGGACTTCCTCGACAGCGTATCGGCGCTGACAAGGGACTTGATTACATACACATTGCGAAACTTGGTAGTACTCTAAGCGGGATAGATCCATCCAGGCTACTACGAGACAAACATATCATGATGCAAGATGTCTAACCCGAGAATGAAGCTGCAAGAATCGCCTTGAGCGATTCTCTAAGTTCAATTTCGGTTTAGCAAGATCGACTATATATCTAGAGTCTAGTGCTTTACTAGTTAGTATGCTCGCGAATATAGGGTACCTACAATAGCGAGATATAGTATTTTTTATCTCTGAGATTACTATACTTAGCAGTTACTCATGCGAGATTAAGACAGCTTCTATGGTGCAAAAACTTACAAATCACGTTTTTGTAAACCGAACGTTGAAAGAAAAGTAATTCATTACTGGAATCATTTTCAAACATCTCAAAGCTATTAAAGTTTTCGAGAGGGGAATTTAACCTCTGAATATCATTCGGTCCTTCAGTATCACCAAGAAAACCCACTCCACTACCCCTCCGCGTTTACCACATAAGGGCCGAATAGTAATATTGCTTGGCCGATGACGCACGGCATTGCATAGATAACAGCAGCAGTGGGTGCAGATGGATTGGATCAGCAAAAACTGAGGCTAGACTAAGGTGATAGATGTCCGGCTAAATGGCCAGGATTCGATACACCGTACCTGCCTAATCAGGCTAGAATCCCGGACGGAACACCACGGAAGCGTACTTGGCGGCGGCATTAAGCTCGCACAAGCACTCAGCGTCGTATGCTTGTGTACGAGTCGCGCGGGGTATTTGGTGAATGCATTCATTCCCATCTTTTTTGAGTTTATATTTTGGGCACTTATCGATCTTTGCTACTTTGATTTGAGTTTTGTGATTGCAGTATACTAGCGCTACAACATGGTCCCTTACGACTGTTCGCCGGGTAGCGGTTCGCTATGCCTTTTCTGGCTATGTGTGGATCCAACCGAAATCGACGCTGCAGATACGGTCGATAAATGATGTCAACCGTAGTTCAGACCGCCTAAAGGGCCAATGGTCCGGGCTGCTAGTACGTAGATAAGCAGGCAATTAACCAACATGAGAAGGTGGGAACGGTACCATGTGCATAGGGCGTAACCAGGTTGGAATCATAGCCTTGATACATATATACTGGCGCTCTACGCTGTGTCGCACTCTACCGAGTTGTTTCCTTTTACTCGGGTGTATCGACTGCGGCAAGACTTTGGGAAGCATCCAAAAGGTATGAGAGTTTGTAATTTTGTTCTTTCATTTACACGCTAACATGTTGTGACTACAGCCATCTGCATCGACAAAGCCTCATAATGAAGAGGACGAGTGCGCTGTTGGCTGCGCCTTTATTGGCAGCGGGTGCGCTTGGGCAATTTGTGCCTGCGCCTACTGATCTCATAACCAAGGAAGGGTATGCAAATGTTAGCGTGCGCTACAAACAGGTACCGGCTAGTATCTGTGAGATGAACCCGGATGTGAAGAGCTATTCGGGATACGCAGATGTCGGGGAAAACCAGCACATTTTCTGGTGGTTCTTCGAGGCGCGCAATCAGGATCCGAAAGATGCCCCTTTGACGGTAAATATTTTTTCTATTCGAAAATGCATGCCGAGGTCTGATTTGACTTTTCTGTTTGCAGATTTGGATTAATGGAGGGCCCGGATCGAGTTCCATGATTGGGCTGTTTCAAGAACTGGGGCCGTGTGGTATTGGGCCGGACTTGAAACCTTATGACAACCCATACTCGTGGTCCAACGCGAGTAATATGCTTTTTATCGATGAACCTACGCAAGTCGGTCTTTCATACTCGATTCCAATCCCAGCCTACAACGACGGTACCTATATCATTGAGCTACCGAACGCGACATGTCCGGACTATGCTGCAAAATATGGAACATGTGGAACGTATTCAAAGCCAGATGTTAGCTTGACGGCCAACACTACTCAAGGAGCGGCGCCAAACATGTGGAAGACATTGCAGGGCTTCATGGGAGCATTCCCCGAATACTCGCGCCACGGCGTCAACTTTGCGACGGAGAGCTATGGCGGACACTACGCGCCCGTGTTCAACTCTTACTTCCTGGACCAGAATGCGAAAAAGATTCCTGGTGCGCACAAGATTGAGCTGGAGAACGTGTTGATTGGCAATGGGTGGTTTGACCCGCTTGTTCAGTACCAGGCGTATTACAACTATAGCGTGTATCCTGGCAACACCTATGACTTCGATCCGTACAACCAGACGGTCAAGGACGAATGGTTTAACAATTTGTACGGCCCAGGCAATTGCGTTGACCGAATTAAGCAGTGCTACGAGACTGGTAGCAATGCGGTATGCGCGACGGCGGATCAGTTCTGTGCTTCCAAGGTGGAGTTTTTGTACGACACCTACAGCGGACGGGACGAATATGACATGCGGGAGTTGACGCCGGATCCGTTTCCGTACTCGTATTTTGAGACCTACCTCAACTTGCCTGATGTGCAAAAGGCAATTGGAGCCTTCCAGAACTTCTCGACCAGCTCTAGCACAGTCAGCTCGTCATTTGGCAACACGGGCGACGACGGTCGCGAGTCTGGTACGATTGAGGCGTGCCAGAAGCTGCTTGCTGCAGGCGTTCAGGTCATGCTTTACTATGGAGACGCGTAAGTTTGGACAATGCCATGATTGAGACAGGATAGGATTTGCTAACCTTTCGAGCAGCGACTACAACTGCAACTGGCTGGGTGGTCAAGTCGTGGCAGACCAAATCAAGGCCAAGGGGTACTCGAAAGCCGGCTTTACCAACATTACTAGCAGCGACGGCGTTGTGCACGGGCAGGTGAAGCAGTCTGGCCTCTTTTCGTTTGTACGCATCTACGAATCGGGCCACGAGGTGCCCTTTTACCAGCCGCTCGTGTCTCTAGAGATGTTTGAGCGCGCATTGAAGCGGTTTGATGTTGCGACGGGCAAGAAGAAGCTGAGTCACGACTACATGACGGTGGGCACACCGACGAGCACCTACAGGGAGGGCAACGCGACCATCCAGATGAATGTGACTCCAGCCAACGCGACGTACAATACGACACTGAATGCACCCAACCCGACCCTGGGCAGGCGGGACATGGTCAAGCAGTTGTGGCGGCCAAAGATGAGTCGGGTTAGACAGCGAGTTCTTTGAAGGGCAAAGGGAGGTAAGGCGAATATAAGAAGATATCAGGCTTCATGGCCTTTTGGTTGAATAAACCAGTACTCAATTCTAATCTCATAAGGTTCTTTATTTCCCAGTGGCGCGTGAGGCTGATATTACTTATTTGGTGATGTTACTAGGTATTGCGAGACTACTAAGCGTATATATAAGTAGACGACCATGACAGCGCTGTATATAGGATCGTAGGCTATTTAAATGCCTACTTTCTTATTGCACTTATTTCCTATCTTTTCTAAGTCATACGTCTACCAGTTTTTTAGTATCCAACGTTCAGTTTTAGTAGGGGACTTTTACCGAGACCACCTCATGCAAACGGCCCTCTGAACTCTCTCCCTGATTGTGCTTTTCGGTACTCGTTCTTGACTGGGGTCTTTTTCTCTTTAGGAGAATGCTGTAGTGGATCCTGAGGTTCTACACGCTCTCCTTTTAGAAACTTCCTCACCCACTCGTTGCCAGGCTCCGATTTTCGGATCTCTTCACATTTTTCCTTCAACCATTTCCTGTCTAGTTCATTCATAACGGACTTTTCCAGCTCCGCCATGCGCTTAAGCATCAGAATCTCCTTCGACTCGGGGCACATCCGATGCAACCAATCATGCATTGATTCCTTGATACAGCTTTTAGCAGGGTCTTTGCCGACGAGTTCTGAGTATGACTTACGGTAGTAATTTTTGGTATGAAACAGGCAACAATTTCCCACTTATCCCTTCCGTTCTCCAGCCATCGTTCAACCAACCGATGCATTGCGTAGTCCCAAAATCTTGCAGCCTCAAACGAATCTGGTTTTCCGATATCTCGAAGCCAACCTTTCTCATTGTCGTTTTCTAGAGCTTCAGCAACCCTTTTCTTGGATAGCCAGGATTTGATGTCTTCTCGAACCTCGCGAAAGCAGTCGCCCATCATAGCCCTCGAGAACTTATCTTTGCTCCACTTATCAATCATCCCATCCCTTCGAAGTAGCCTCACCAAACAGGCTCCTATTGACTTTACCTGCTTAGGTGATGCTTTGCGAAGGTCAGCCTGCTCGATCAGCCGAAAGAGATTTTTGTGAGTAAACCGCCGTATTCGATCGGTATCAAAACCCTGAACATCCTCGCAAAGAGCTTTCAAAGACATGTTTAGGATATGGATGTGGGATTCGCTAACGTCAAGCCGTATGGTAGCCTTCCGCTGACCGCGTCGCGATTCGAAGAAGTCCGCAAATCCATATCTGTCATATAGCTTCTGCCCGTGTGTTCCAAGTGTGTTTGTCAAGTTTGTACAGACAATCTTTTCAAGGAGATCAAGTTCCTCGAGATCTACGCCTTCGTATCGTTTGCCTCGCTTTTTGTGGATCTCATCCATCGTCTTGTCGTCTTTGGCACTTTCGATTAGATGTTTACTCATCATCTCGTAACGCCAGGTGATGATGTTATCGGTATCTACTACGAACAGAGTATGATACCTCTTCTCTATCTGGATCTTGAGACTGTAGAAGAGTGGTGTTTCGAGCGACAGATCAACGTATTGCTCGATTACATCAAGATTGAGCGGACAGCCAATCGAGGAAAAACTCTGAACGCACATCAATAGTGCATTGACCACCAGTATCTCATCTGGATGCAGAGTCTTATTCAATCTTTCAATCTGTCTGTAAATCTTTACTGAGGTGTCGTCGGTCAATTGTCTGATAATTTTGTCAAGCTGCCGTTGGTTGACACACTGCTCGAACTCGCGGAGCAAAAGATCGAGGCGCCAGAAACAGTTTTGCACATTTTGCGAGACTTTGGCTTTTATCAACTGGTTCTTGGACATTTCTGACAGTGATGTGTCATTCCGAAAGATGGGCAGCTGGAGGAGGCGCTCGCTGATAACCTCTTGGACATCATCAATGTTGGGCACTAACACTTCGTTATTTGGCCCAGGGACAAGCGAAATTTTAGTCATCCCTTTGCCATCCGGGAGTTTCCGATTGATCTGAGGGACGGTGGTCACGAATAACCGAAGTTGTAGACCATCCTTTGATTGGCGCTCTGTTTGTTGGCTTGTGAGGGTTCCGATAACCGATGAGAGCGGCGAGGCATCAGCCGAGCTCTGAACTCCATCTATGACCATGAAAAACCTTGTCTCATCCTTGGGTTCATATTTAACAACGAGATTCTGCCAGATTTCGTCCATGGTATTATTTCCAACATTTTTCTTACAGGCTTTGGCTAAGAAATCTCGATAGGCACTGTCAGCTTGCGCAAGCTGCCAAATCATCGATTGAAGTCCCTGATTCAATGTTGATACATCCGTTTTATCAGACAACGATCCTTATAAATAGTGGAATGCTACGAAAGCTTTTGAGGAATATGTTGCGTCTGTCGTTCTCTTCTGGAGGTGCTCTACCACGGCTGAGGCTAAGAATGTCTTCCCGCAACCTGGTTCACCAATCACCAATATCATTGGTGGAGTGTTTTTCTCAATGTCACTCCAACTAACAAAGGCTTCATTTCTTGAAAACAGCCAGTGACCGGTATTCTCCACGCGCTCTTCGGCGATCTGAGCATGGCGGCGCCGCGCTAAGTCGAGAGTATCGAGATTTAGCGAGGAGTGGATAACAGACAGTTTCCCCTTTGCTTCCTGGTTTTCTTCCAGTCTCTTCAGACTGTTTCTGGTATCTTCGTCATATCTGAGAATGAGATCTAAGTCGGTCTTCATAGTGCGGATATCTTGTGCAGCTTTGGAAAGATCCTTCCCGATTACTGAAACTTGTATGCGGACAACATCTGATACCCGCGTCTCGAGCATGGCCAATGCTTCTGTAACACCGCTCCCATCCCCGAGTAGTAGTGTCTTTGCAAAAGCCTTCACTTTGAACTTCTTGGATTTAAATTGGACAGTCAGGGTCATAATGGCCATGAAATGCTCAAGAACACGATAGACGCTTGGCCTTAGTCGCTCATCCAGCGTAACACCTCTGTCATCTTGGTCTTCGATATAGATATTGAGTTGCCGGAGGAATACGGATACTCGCTCCAGAAGTAGAGTCAAGTCTTCGAAGATCTTCTTGTAGTCTTGCACGGCGACAATGACAAAGTTGAGGGCGTTGAAGCATTGTTCACTCGGCCCCAAGGCCATTCCTGCAAGAGGAGATATGATCTTCCCAAGTTTCTGAACGAAACTTAATGTATCATTGACAAAGTCTTTTGCTCTTGATTTCGTTGCTGGTTTCGCCTCCTTCGGATCGATCTTGCTGATAACGTCTTCGATTGACGGTTTTTTTACCTTGGCCCAGTCCAGGTTTGCCTCCTTGCTGAATTCTTGTACCACTAGCCGCCATGTCTTCTCGAGGTCATTATCGGTTGATAGAGTAAGATTCGAAGACATGATAGGCCTAGGATTCAAGTAGAGACAGTATTACTCGCAAAGACTACTGTAATGTCGAATGCTGTAAAAATAATGACAACGAATGTGTTTTGCTGTGTAGTGTGTTAGGATGTAGACTTGTGAAGAAGGAAAATCATGGCATTCTCGTACTAACGCCAGGGAAGACATATCAAGAATGCGCTTATTTATGCACTAGCCCCGCACATCAGTATTGCTTTTTCTATAGTGACCTTACATTTCGGCATGTATTCGTCGCGTGCACTTTCGTGTGAACGCTTTATAGGTCAGATCACAGATATGGAGAAGAGACTATCTTTTGCAGATGGGAATAGTCTTGCTCGTATTGAATCCCGGGATGAGATCAGCAGTGGGTGCCTTTTGTTGGCTGAGGGGATCTGAGGCGTAGCAGTCGAGCTGACTTTTAGTGGTTGTGTTAGTATGTACTACTACGTATGTGCTACCGCTCAACCTTGTGGTGCATCTTTGCAAGCTGCCTAGATCCAATGGGTACGATTGCAAGCGCTCGCTCAAGGCAGCGTCTGCATCGTCTTTACTGGAAGAAGATACAGTCTGCACGCTTTCAATCCTCTCTCCTCAGCTCGTTATTTCCTACTGCATGTCTCGAGCGGTCGACTCTGCTGTTGTTATCTTTAACGCAAGCCAATAACATAAGCGACGCCAAACATGTGACAAGGGATCTTCGCGCGCCACTGCCAATTCCAGCGAGGAATTCGGAGGTATAAAACTGACAATTAAATCCTATAGAATATGAAATGTTGGCCTGGAAACGGTGAACAGAAGTTAGTGTAAAGGTAATATCTTGTTTTTACCAAGTGGTAACCTAGCCACATCATCCTAAGCGTTTTTCCGGGCTGTATCTCAAAATTTGAAGAACAAGGGCAGGGAAAGACTGCACTACCACTTCCATTTTCTTTTGTTTGATGCTCTCCAACGAATCAGAATCAGTAACCCATACTTCCTCTCCCTACTGCTCGCTCAATCTCTTCCAACATAGCCTGCGCTCCCTGTGCGCCCCTCGGCGTTCCCCGGGGAAACTTGTATCGCCCATCCACACCACCAGGCGGATCCACAAGCTTGCCTTGCGAAGAACCAGTGAAAAACGGTATCTGGCCATCGTAGACTCGAATCGGGCTCAGCTTCTCTAGAGACCGGGAGTCGAGATCATCAAACAGTTGGCTGAGGACACGCGCGTAGGCTCTTGTGAAGCCCATGTACGGGCCCCCTCCGCGATAAGGTATGTTGGCAGGGTCCTCGGCGTCCACTACAGTAACCCACGGCTCCAAGTCCAGGTTGGGGACTTTGCCGCGAACAAAGTCTGGCGCATTCAGCAGTGAAGCCAGTACGGCTTCGTCGATGACAATGCACACATCGCGCCGGACGTCCGAGGGCCACTCTTCGTCGTCATCGTCGTCTTCATTTCTCTCCCGGCCAACAAAATCCGCGATCCACTGGTTGAAGGCCTTGCGGACTGAGGCATGGTCAGCCCCGTGTAGAAGAGCACTATCAGATATGACGGGTAGCGCAAACGTGTCGGGATCCATTTCAGCCCCGCTATCTGACGGAGTAGCGTAGTCGTGTAGCTTCTTTAAGGCGGCAGCCCACTGCGCGTCGTCGTTGTCATTGGCGTAGGCGGTGCGCACAACGACAAAGCCCCATTGGTGAGTGAGGCTTTCCATTGCGCTGCGGAACTGCGCTGAAAGACTACTGAGATCCCGGGGTTGTGGTTGCTCCGCCATTGTGAAGCTGGCCGTACTTAGTGGGTGAGAGAGGTGAGGGCGTGGAGCAATGTCAATTGTCGAAGCGGGGGCGGGGCAACTGAAAGGAGGCCTAATTAGTTATTAACCGGTGCAGACGAAATTGGTGTTCGATTCAGGGGCGACCGAGAAGGTCTCTGGCATATCTATATTATTTATCCATTTGAGTATCTATCGCCTTGGGCGTCTGTTGTGTCGAAATGAGGCAGGTCCAACTTGTAAATGAAACGCCAAGCCAATTGCAACAAAACCCACACAGAGGCTGAAGACGCAAACATGCTATAGTGACATGAGCTATTTATAATGAGCTGCATACGGCTGAACTAGGCACACAGGCATGGAAAAATGTGCTAGAATGAGTTTAGTGAGGATATAGGAGCAGTGAAGGAACAGTCTCAATAAAATTTATTATACAGGGGCTGGTCGAACCATAACTACCACTATATCAGATTCGTAGTGTCAATGGAAATTTCCCCATTGGTAAGACCAAGCGTTTCCAAACGGGTCAGATGCTGGTTGACCTGTAGTGCTCTCGCCTGATACGTTTCGTCGTTGGGATTGTTCAACGGGCTCCATGCCCGGCGCATATCCGCAATGGCACCGCGCACCCACGTACGCGTATTTGACGCCATATCTTCCAGGTGTTCTTTGAACCAAGTATCCCAGCAATCGCGTATGTTGACCCCAGCATTGGGGTGCCCAAAGTTGTATGCATCAGATGCTCGCTGGAACTCTTCTCGGAGCACTCTGTTGATGCCCCTGAGCTTAGGTCGGACATATGGATGGTTCAGATAGTTAAACACAGCAATTGCCTGATTGCGTCAGTATGTTGATCACTCGTGATGGTCAGTCATACTCACATCTCGAATCGACTGTAGTGCTTCCCGAGGCTCGGAGTTGGCAAGCATTACCAGCCAGCTGCCATCACTGATGGGGTCCAAGTATCTCCAGATCTACAGCACCACGGTCAGTCTAAATGCCACCCATCAACACCGAAAACTCGGCTACATACCCTGGCTTTCATTCCATTCAGATTGGTCCGAAGCAAGACGAAGTTCACCGTGTTCAGCTCACTACCCAGAGCGTCCATGATACGCTCACTGGGAACTGGACTCATGAATCCGCCAGGCATGGATGGACCGCCCGATATGGGGTTATTAAATCCGTTGATGAAGAACTCGCAAGGGACTTTGCACCTCCTGTCGCCCGGTGCATCGGTGAAAAACAGAGCCATTGTCTGTATCTCAATGATGTGTTCAGCTGTGCGAGGTCAAGGGTCAGCCATTACGACCATGTAGAAGAAACTACAATCTATAGCATGCAAGAGAGAGTCATCGTCGACTTACTGGCATAGTACTCGCCATCTGGCAGCTGGGAAACTCGGAGATTAGTCATGGAGCAGTGTTCCTCGTACATGTGTGTCAGGGCATTGTCGTAGATGGGATTATTGGAAGGCCATTGGCCAGCGCTAGTCCACGGCCTCTTCCTCCACTTGATTTTCTTGCCGTTGGGATTCGCCGAGTCTACACACTCAAACTCAACGTCCATGTTATCGCGCTTCTCGAGAGCGCCGTGATGTTCTGCAGGAGATGTGTCGAGGAGGGTGTCTCGCGCCTTCACAGACCCGAACCCCATGCCACGCCTATCTGAGGTGCCAGGAGCATCTTCATCAAACGAGTCGAAGCAGAGCCCATCGACTCCGCACATCTCGGCGTTGCAGATGACGACGGTAACTTGTGTCCGCCGAATCAGGGCGTCAGTGACATCAAGCTGGCAAGCGAAGCGCTCTGCAGTGATCTCTGGGCCCTCAAGATCAAAAGCAGGATAGCGAGACTTGTCAGTAAGGAATGACTTCATAGGTACTGTCTGCAATCCTTGATGCTTGGTTTTGATGAAGTCGTCCCAAGCACTGCCATAAGCCTTGCTCATATCGGTCGACGTCTGGTATATGGCCGCGAGGATTAGCATCAACAGCTTGAGGGCTCTTTCAGCATTGGTCATGCCATTACCGCCAATGGGAGTTTGCTGCCGAGTGAGAAGGTGGGATTTGTCTTCGTCGCTGATGAGGCCTCGTTCCACGAGATAACGTCGTTGGAGAGACCCCGTTCCCCGAGGACAAGTTGGACTCTTGACCCAAGCCTCCATGGCATCGCGATACTTTTGTATCTCATCTGACGGACGCGTCTCGGTTTCGTAGTTATCCGCGTCGCAGCAGTACGCTCGGGCACCACTGGTCTTACAACCGTCACCCCAAGCGTCCATGGCCACTCGTGTTTTGCCTTCAGGGCAGTTGGGATAGCATCGGGCTCCCGCGGAACCCCATCCGAGCGACTTTTCCCATTTACAGTTGCTCCATTTGCGGTTGTTCGTCTTGGTGTCGCAGCAGTACTTACGTTCCTGAACCTGCCAGGTACTTGCTTCCCAGCCCGCAGAACGCATATTGCAAATGGCACCACCACTGCCTGTTGCTGAGACGACTAGTTCTGTCGGCCATGCTGAGCCAGCAAACGTACACTTGCCCAGATCGCACATTGGCGCATCGGACCACTCACAACCCTCATAGAGCTCCATGGAGCGTAGTGGTTTCTTATCTGAATCCGAAGTGGTGCAGCAGGCGGCCTGGTAGCCCGAGTCACAGTAATTTGAGTTGGATCCGACTTCCTGAGTGCCATCCGGACATTTCGAATCACATTTACCGCCGCGTTTGGGAAGTGTGTACCAACCGCACGTTGGAAGCTTCTCGGACGACGGGCAACAGAGGCGGTGGATACCCGCACCGTCACACCCCGAGTTGTCAAACATATATTCATCGGTACGGGCATGCTCATCGCTGCGCTTCATTATTTGCCAGCCCGAGGGACAGCCCCCATCCATGCAGTTTGTCCATTTGCACTGGGGATGCGGAATCTTAACTTCCTTTTCAGGACCTTCCGTACTCGGAAGAAGAAGGATCTTGCGATTTGCCGCCGCCGCCAGAGCTTTCGTGTACTTTGCGTCCTTGGTGTCGTGACTGATGGCCCATACCATAACGCCGCCCAGGCAGCGCTTGCGGGCGAACTTGGCTTTCATCTTGAACGTGTCCGCATCGTCGTACGTCAGCCACTGGTCGTCCCAGTGAAGCATCTTCACAGTCTCCTTCTCCCATGATTTGGGCACAAGGCTCTTTTTCTTAACGATATCGTCGATCTCAGAGTTGAGCAAGATACCGGCCTCGTTACTGCAAGGACCTTTCTTGGCACCCGATGCGAATTGGCACTGAGCTTCAGTGCAGCTTGGGTCTTTGAGCGTGTAAGCTCGCGCGTAGAATGCAAGGCCCAAAACTACCATGTTTGGATCCACTTTGTTCCTCCAAAGGAGATCAAGAGCGGCATCGATCTCGGTAATATTTGTATGAGGGTTGAGATATTCGCCGGTCCACTTGTTGCCTGAATCAGACGTTAGAAGAGATCATATCAAGTAGAATCAAGATTCGAACCTTTATCCCACGTGCCGTGCAAATCATATGACATGATGTTGAAGAAGTCAACTGATTTCTTGAGCTTGACGAGGTCGAAGTGTTGGAGATACCAGAAGGATGCTGGGAGCGTGATAGATAGCCCGCCGCGGCCTGCTGTCTGCCGAAGCTCTTTGGATAAGTTTTGCATGAATTTAGGAAAGTTTGCAAAGTCTTCGGATCTGCCACTGCGATCCGGAGCTTCGGGGTATTCCCAATCAAGATCAACACCGTCCATGTCGTACTTGTTTAGAAAGGCAATCAGAGACTTGATGAACTTTTTCTGATTCTCTTCCGACCGTGCAATGTCTGAGAAGACAGTCGCAGTAGGACCTGGATCGTTAAATGTCCAGCCGCCAATGGCGATGTATATGCGGAGTGTGGGGTCATCTTTCTTGAGCGCTGTCAAGCGCTTGTAAAGTGGTATGTCCTCAGGTGTCGCGGGAAGAACTTCAAATGTCTGGGGATCAATCGTCGCAAAGGCAAAGTTGATGATTGAGTAGACGCCACGAGGAATCTGCTCAGGAAAGAAGGCATTGCATGGCCTTCGAGCACCCCATCCTTCGTAGTAGCCAACCACCCTGTTGAGGGTGCCGTCTTCATCACAGGTCTCTCGTTTGACTTTCTTGTTGCCACACTAGAAGTATGATAGTGAGCTTGATGCTTTGACGTAAGTAGGTCAGTTTCAGTAGTTACTTACAAAGTCTTTCGTGGTTCCGCAAAACCCCTAAGAGAGATGTTGTCAGTAGTTATACACACACCTAGCACAAAGAACCTTATATGCCGAAACACACTTACAAACTTTGAACAGCACACGTTTAGAGGACAAGTAGATCTCTTGGCCCATTGTGAACCGAATCCGGGATCACAGTCGGACTTGCGCTCGCAGCCAGAGACACAGACGTCCGATGCACAAAAGTCTGGGCCAAAACCACAATGGCCGAATTTGGAGCTGATTTGGATAGTTAGCTATTACTCATATATTTGAGTTGAAAAGTAGCGTTGTCAGATTCTCGCATTGAGCAGTGTTTAAGCTGTCAGAAAACCCGCATAGAAAATGTGACTTACCAGCATCCAACTTCACAAAGGCTAGATGCACTACACGTTTGGGCGCAGGACAAAGGTAGGGATGTTAAGAGGAAACTAAGAAGACAGAAAAGAATGTACGTAGTCGAAGCCATGACTACAGCAGTAATCTCACAAAAGAGAGATGTATCTTCTCCTGGCTGCAGAGGAGGATGCCAAAGAAATAAAGAAGAAGTTTGAGCTAAGAAGCCTCAGCCTATTGATATGTTCAGAAGCCAATAGATCCACCTCAACAAAGCACTTGGCAGCAAGCCTTGAGCCTAGACAACTAGCCCGAGTAAGTTCTAGAGTTAACACGGGTGGTAGAGTGTAAGGCGTTCTTCCAATTAATTGGAAAGTTACACAACACTGGAAAAGTTGATTGAAGCTGTTGGTTTCTCCTGATGACTGCAGAACTCCGGCCGGAGATGGGCCTGGAGTTGAGTGGCATCGTCAATATCGCACTAATCATACTCATGGGAGAAATGAGTTAATTCCCAAGACTCCACGAGGGAGGGAAATGACAGCACTTGGCAGTGAGAAAGATATCTAAATGTGGATTTCCAATCCTTCTTCTAGCCAAGAGAGGGCAATGAGGGTTCAATTTGGGAGGCCTTACAGTGGCGGGCTTCACATTGACTGTTGATAAGGCTGTGAAAACCCCTGTCGGGTCTGCTTAACCGTGTATAAGGCGTTCCAATCTAACGGCGCGTGATGGTCGTCCTGCAGGGACGCTTCGCTTAGTGTGGAGGCCATGTTCGCAGGATGTAGATGGCGGCCCGAAAACCATACGACCCGTGATCATCCCGCAAATGGCGGGACCCTGATTGTCGTTAACAGCTTGCCTAAAGCAGTATGATGGCCGTCCAGGGACCCGGATAAACCGCAGCATCTAGCTCAATTTGTAACAACTATAGTTCGCATCAATCTGCCGCACACGCCAGAAATAGAGGTGGCCTGACGCAGGTACCATGTTTTGGGGGGTCTACCATATTGTACCTGCATTTGATCTAATTTTGCTTAGGTGTAGGCTCCCGTCGGGGCTTACTTGGCGGATGTAGTAGGCTGTTTATCCTAACCAATCGATGGACCACTCGTTACATGACGGACGGTTTTTGGAAGTGTTCATTGAATTGTAGAGCTTACAGCAAATGCGCTACCCCTTCTCGTTTGACTACCCTTAATGCCACGATCTGCTGTTGCACGCCGGCGAACACCAAGTTGTCTATTCCTTCCTTCTTCCAAGCTCTCCTTCAACTTGTCTATCTTCGAGCATGGCGCCTCACTTTAGGCTGCCGTTCGTTTTCAACACCCTCTTTACCATCTTTCTTCTACCATCACTGGTAGCTCTCGTTTTTGGCCATGGAATCGATCATGCCGAGGCCCACCGCCAGATGAAAACCATCAGACAAACAGATGCAGATGGTGTTCATGCCCCAGTAAATGGGACGACTAAACCCCGTCTGGGTAACTCGACTTCGGGCGATGCCGCTGATCTTGTTGCCGCTGCTCTAGACGCTCTTGCAGTACGCAACAGGTTGCGCCTAGACAACCCGAGGTTCAACAGTTATGAAGTCTTGCCAGCCGATATCCCGAGCGCGAACAAACCCACAGATGACAACACCGTCCCCTCTATATTGGATTTTGTTGACGTCGCATCTAACAGCACTTTGAGAAAAAGAGCGCTCAACTCCACGGGTCCTATTAGCGAAGAAGCCAACCCGGACGGTGGTTACAAATACAGCGTACCAGCAGAGCTTGTAGAAGCTGCTCGTATCCTCGCTGAGTCGACGCCGCAGCATGTTTCGACCGGCAACCAAAGCGACGTCGCCTCGAAGATCAAGGCTAAGTATGCTCTAAAAGTCAACGATACCAATGCGATGCCTGCCTCCTTTGCCATGACGGAAATGTCATCCATACTTCCCGTTGCTTCTAATGAGACAATCCCTCTTGGCTCCAGTGGTCTGAAGAAGCGAGCGTCCAAGTATTGGATGGCCAACATGCAGCAACTAGGCTCTAGTCCCTTCGCACCCAGTGGCTACAAGGTAACTATTCGTGCACTCACCACCTTTGGTCTTGCGTTGACAGGATGGAATACAGGTTTGGAGAGACGTGCGCGCCTACGGTGCAAAAGGTTTGTTTTCAGCTTTCTGTTCCCGGGAACTTGCAATTCAATTATCGCTAATACTGAGCGCTTTTTAGGTGATGGAGTCACTGACGACACGGGTAAGTCCAAGCCATCATCAAAGTATCATTGTGCATTCGTGCTAACTCCTTTGTTCATCAGCTGCCATCAATCGCGCCATCTCTGATGGCAATAGATGTGGTGCCAACTGTGGCTCGAGCACTATTCACCCGGCTGTCGTCTTCTTCCCCGCAGGAACATACCTCGTCAGCAGTTCAATCATTCAGTATTACAACACGCAGCTACTGGGCGATGTAT